TGTGGTTAAAACAGGAACTTGGATTATACCAAGCATTTTTTGAATTTCTGCATTCTTAAATTGTCCCAAAACTTGGCAATATTTTAAAATTCCATAGTGATGGCAATGTTTAAAATGTGGTGGTATTCACTGAGTTTTGGTTAATGTTTACAAACGCCTACTGTCCTTCAAATACTATTAAATTAGCATTGTATGGTTGTACTGTTAGGATGAAAAAAAGGTTGTTTTAGGGGCACAGTCCTAAAGTAGACTTGTGTTGATTCTGTTTCTGCAAACAGATTTTTTTTTGAGGCAGAGTTTCACTCTTGTTGCCCAGGCTGGAGTGCAATGGCATCAACTCAGCTCACCACAACCTCTACCTCCTGGGTTCAAGCAATTCTCCTGCCTCAGCCTCCCGAATAGCTGGGATTACAGTCATGTGTCACCCTACCCAGCTAATTTTGTATTTTTAGTAGAGATGCAGTTTTACCATGTTGGTTAGGCTGGTCTTGAACTCCCAACCTCAGGTGATCTGCCTGCCTCATCCTCCCAAAGTGCTGGGATTATAGGGGTGAGCCACTGCACCCAGGCTTTTTTTTTTTTTTTTTTGAGATACAGTCTCACTCTGTGGCCCAGGCTGGAATGCAGTGGTATGATCTCAACTCACTGACTGCAACCTCTGCCTCATGGGTTCAAGAGATTCTCCTGCCTCAGCCTCCCAAGTAGCTGAGACTACAGGTGTGCGCCACCACACCTGGCTAATTTTTGGATTTTTAGTAGAGACAGGGTTTCACTATGCTGGCCATGCTGGTCTCCGACCTCAAATGATCCGCCCACCTTGGCCTCCCAGTGTTTTTACAAGCATGAGCCACCATGCCCAGCCTGCAAATATATTTTTAAACATCTTTTTATACAATAGAAGATCCCAATGAAGATGTAAAGTACTTAAACTGAAAGACGTGGCTCAGCGACACCAAGGGCCCTTTGCAACCACTTTATCTCCTTATGCTGAGCCAGAGCAAACAGGAGAAATATAAAAAGTGACTGCACTTTCTAGAATATGTTAATAGTTTTTGTCACTAAGTTTGCCAAGATCGAAACCAGCTATTTACCTGGTTGTTTAGAGGAGGTTTTGGCTCTGAAAGGTTGGTTTATGTGGGTTTTCATGTCAGCCATGAATTCAGTAACGTTATTTGATTTATCTGGGATACAGATACAGCATTTAGTTTTACGACAGCCACAGGTTTCCCTTGGGCTTCAGTGAGTATGTCTAAAGCCATATGGTTTTACAATACAGATTTTCTCAAGTAAGTTTATTATTTAATAATGAGATACCCATCTTGCTATGACTTAAGGCCTTTTGTATATATCTGTTTGGGGCCTCTACATGTCAAGTAACACCTTCAATACCTAGTTATGGCAGAAAGTTAGAAACTAAATGTTAGAGACACAATGCTTGTTCCTAGGTATTGCAAGGAAAAAATTAGCATTCAGACAAAAAGTTTTCTCAGCAAGGCAATTTTACTTTCTGCAGAAAGGGTACTCCTTGTCAGCCATCTTGCCATGAGACTACCATGAACAAAGGAAAGGCAAGCATACTTATTCTTTATGCATTGGGTCCTTACTGCTGTGTCGGATCTCCATTGGTTGGAGCTGAACTTCACAGTCTAAACTAAAATCTGATTGGCTAACAACTTAAAACTTACCTGAATAGGTAAAAGCAATGGAGAACAAAAGGCAAAAAGGAAGTCCAAATAAGGAAGGCGCATAGGCTGTGAGCTGGGGCATGCCTGTGAGTCTATTTTGATCTTTGTGTTTTAGGACCCCCTAAAGCATCTCCACCACTTTCATGTATTAGACAAATATTAAAATTGGAAGGTTATAATTTGGATGCCCCAAAGGCAGAGAATTAGCAAGGTCACATTTGATCATTTTGAATGTTGGTGGATTTTATTCTGATGACTCTAAAGGGCCTGGCACGTCCTGTTTTTAGAGAGCATATAATGGTTGAGCTTTAAAGAAAAGTTTGGGATCCAATTTCTATAATATCCTGCCAGTCCCCCACACTCTTTTCTTTCTTGGTTGTTGGTGGTGGAAAGCTAAAATTTCTTTCAATCTAGATTAATAGAAAGTCCTTCTTTAGATATTAAGTGGCCCGAGTACTTTACTTGTTTTTTATAAAACTGAAGTGTTTCTTTAGAAATTTAATGTCACCTTAGGGCTGTTGTAATTAATGTATCCCATCTTCTACGTGGGAAGTAGAAAAGTTCCTCTTCAAAGTTTCCTTTCTTGTTAAATAATAATAATAAATGTCAGAAATAAGTCTCTTTATAGCCACAGCTCACAAGTGGCAATGCCCTTTGAAGAAAGACTTCTTCATAGTCTTCTTGCCTTTTACTAGTAACTCTTCGTTAGGCACGATCCTATCTAGCTGTTAGATATAAAGGAATAAGTACATTCTATGTCCTTGTACTTTAACCAGAATATTTATGTGACTAGTTTTCTAAGTCCTTTCGCAGGCAGCTTCCTGTCCCTTCCTTATTTGGACTTCCTTTTTGTTTTCCATTGCTTTTACCTATTCAAGAAAGTTTTAAGTGTTAGCCGGTTGGGTTCCGTTTTAGATTATGAGGTCTGGCTCTAGCCAATGGAGGTCAGACACAGCAGTAAAGACAACCCCAAATGCATAAAAGATAACTATGTCTGCATTTCCTTTGTTTATTGTATTCCCATGGCAAGATGGCTAACAGGAACACCTTTCTACAGAAAGTAAAATTACCTTGCTGAGAGATCCTTTGTCTTAGTGCTGATTTTTCTCTGTGGCACCCAGCATCTGTTTCCAACATTCTGTAAAAGCTTGCTTATCTTCTGAGCAAAGGAGTAAACTGCCCATGTACTGTATTAAAAAAATTTTTAAGAACAAGTCAATATCTAAGAGAACTGTTTTTGCCTAAGTTGGGCTCTCAGTGTAGCCCTGGGCATGGCTGTCTGTGTATATTGTCTGCCTTCCCAAGTAAAGGTAAAGAGAAGCCAACACTTTCATCCACAGGAACTCCTAAAAGACATGCTACGGAAGTCCACTATGGTCAAGGACTTTGATTGGGGTAGCCAAGAGGATTCTTCCAATATCAGTGGAAGACTCGGACCATATTTGATCAAGTATTGCCTTTAGTAAGTTTTGTAATTCTTCATTATTCAGTAATTTAGTGTCTTCTAGGGCAATATGGATTGCAATTGAGTTAGATTCTGGAACATTTTTTATGTCTAGTAACTCAGCTTTCTCAGCTAATTCTAAATACATTTTCCCCCTTTGGGAGAAAGAAATATAGTTATTATAATTCTAAGAAGTCTCTTTTTATAAGATGGATGGCAGCTGATAGAACCAGAAGGAAAATGTGAGTGCCCTGTAAAGGACTGAGTTTAAAAGCTATAGGCTGAGATTTATGTGCCATTACAGGAGGATTAGTGACCCCTACCCTTTGAATTTTTTTTTTCTTGACTCCAAGGAATGGAACCTCCTAACAAGGTGGGATTTAGTACAGGCAGCACAACTGCTGTATCAGCAGGCCCTTGTGTCAGCAACAAGAACTGTGTTAACTCTCTATTTAAAGTAATTTTTATTTTTCCCACAGTAGAGCCAGGGTCACACACTCAAGTATTTGAATTCTCTGGGAAAACAAGTAGGGTCCTGGTGAGCATCAGGAAATTCCTTGATTATATTTGTAAGTCTTACCTTTGATCATAACCGATGAACCAGGGTACGTGGTTGGCCCCTGTCAGACACTGGCTGTTTGAGAAATGGCCCCAGAACAGGAGGAGGAGGAGGAGGTGGAAGAAAGGTGGGGTCTGAGCCAGGTAGTTCAGACAACAAAGGATAAAGAGAAGGAGGAGCTGAGGGAGGAGGGGGAGAAATTTCAGCAGTCTTTTTAAATTCAGAAATGATTTGATATTTTTTGTTTGTTTTTCTCTCGTAAAGAAATACCTCTATTGGAACTTCTTTTGGATGCTTCCAAATACCATTAAAAAAAAAAAAAAAACCTCTCCCCAAAACTGCTTTATCCTCAAGCGAGCGTTTTCCAATTAGGCAAACAAGTAAATTAGCTTGGTATTTCAAGGGACCCGGTTTTGGTCACTGAAATGTTTTTTCTCAAGTTATATGACACCATTTTTCTAAATAATGACAAGAGGTGGCGCCGTAAGTACTGCACAGGAATCCAGCTGGAGTTTCCAAAGGTGGGCCCTTCCTGGAGAAAGACTTGGTTCTGGACGGACCATTGTTTATGAGTTCTCTTAAGTGACAAAAGACTGTAAGGGAAATTCTGGTTACTCAAGAAGAAAGTTTAAACATGTCAATTGAACTCAGCTCCGGAACCTGGCCAATCTTAAAGATGACACGTTTTGCTTAAGCCACGATTCGCTGCTTCTTTTCAAAGAAAAACTGCCTTCTCCTTGTCCAAATTTGACGGAGAAAAAAGGTTTCGAACTTTAGCAAGTAAGACACACGAAACCTCAACCCGGAAATAAAGTGAAACCACGCACCTGCAAACAGCTAACTCTTTGGAGAAATAACAAATGAAACTCCTGCCTTAAAACGAACTTTCAACTCCAGTCCCACAGCTGTGGACCTGGGGAGGCGGAACAGTCTGAACCTCAGCCCTGGGAGGCTGCCAGAGACGCCGACGTGTTCCCAGGAGGTCGGGTGAGCCAAGGCCGCTCCGTGGGTGCCAGCGCTCCGGCTGCCAGAGCAGTGGCACCGATCCCAGGAGGCTGGCTTTGGGCCCATCTGCACGCGCCAAAATCCCAACCTCAAATGACCAAAGGGTCAGACTCTAACTCGGGGGGACTGATTCACAGTCGGCTGGAGGCTGAGCCACCCAGAAACACCAACTCTAGAGGAGTGGAGTCCGCCCTGGGAAGCGGGAGGGAAGGGACCCTCAGGAGGCAGAGGCCGAGGGGCTTTCAGCACGACCGCGGCGTCCCTCCCACGAGGCGGGCGCACGGTCACAGCCACAGCGTCTGTCTGACGACGGGCAGGGCATGTTGTGGGGAGGGTCCAGTGCACACGTCAGAGGGTGCGGCGGCCACGGTTTCCCGTCTCCGGTCCGAGCAGAGCAGGACAAAGGAGAAGCGAACCCACGAGGGTCACGAACTAGGAAGGCGGAGGTTCCGTCCCCGGCACCGGCGAGTCCCGACCGAGAAAGCAGCCGCGGGCGAGGGAGCGGGCGGCCCCGGCCCCGCGGGGCTCCAAGCGCGCAGCCTGTGCTCAGGTTCCACCTGCAAACGCGTTTTGGCCGTTTCGGAAGTGGCCTGAAACGCGCCCGTCAGGACTGAGTCCTTTCGTCCACCCAGGGGCCCGGAAGGCCGCAGCGGGGGCGTCGGCGGGAGTGCGGGTCACAGTTCGGCAGCACACGGGTCAGGCCGTTCCGGGGCCGCTTCTGGCGAGGGTAACGCACAAACATAAAGAATCCACGGAAAGCCCCCCACGGACAGCGGCGGGCCAGGGCGGGAAGCCCGGGTGAGGGGCGCGGGCGCGGCGCGGACCACGAGAGCCCACCCGCGCGTCTTCCACAGCTCGCTGAAGAGCAGCGTGAGCAGCGCTTGGGGCCGCCGTCCCGGATGCGCGCAACCCTTTAGGACGGAGGCTACCGTGACCTCCGCCACCGAAACACCGCGCTCCCCTAGTCCCCTCCGCGGGCCGCCCTTCCCCGCCGCGCAGGCGCAGGAGGCGCAGCGAGCCCCTCCACCCGTCCACGCCCCACCGCCCCGCGCAGGCGCACTGACGCACCGAGCCTCGGCCGCTTCCCTCCCGAGGGGCCGCTCCTCCCTTGCGCAGGCGCACTGAGCCACAGCCGAGTCGGGAGGCGGGCCCGATTGCGAGGGGGCGGGGCGAGCTGCCTTTTGCGGCTGCGCCCTCGCATAGCCCCGCCCCAGCGAGCCACTTCCGGCGCCGCGGCTCTTCCGGGCAGAGACCGCTGAGGCTGGCATCGGAGTCGTAACGTACCGCTGACCGAGCGAACGGCCGGCCGTCATGGTGCCCAGAGTGGCCCGCGGGCCGATGCCATACTGGAGGTTGCCCCTCGGTGGCGCCGCGCTGCTCCTGCTGCTCATCTCGGTGGCCGCCGCGCAGGAGCCTTCCGGAGCGGGTGAGGGCCGCGAAGGGGGCGGGGCGGCTGGAGGTCCGGGTCGGGGTCGGTGTCGGGGTCGGGGTCCGGGCCGCGGCGCTGGGCTCCGTGGGCGGCCCGGGCGCACGGTCGCAGGCAGCACCCTGGCGGAGGCATCCCGAGGGTCACGCCGGTCTGGCGGCCGCGGGAGCTGCCCTCGCGGCTGGCGTGCGGGCCTGGGAAGAGCCGCCTTCGTCTTTGTCTTTGTTTCTGTCCAGTCGCTGCGGCGCTCCTCGCGCGTGGCCGCGGGTTGGCCCTCGCCCGGCAGGCGGGACGCTTGGCACCTGCGGTCTCACCGCGACCCCAGACGGCTCTCCTCGGGTTCGATCCCTACCCGGGAAGCCGGCCCACGATATGCTCGAGGGCGCACAGCTGGTCGGGGACCGGCTGAGATGGCGGCCCCTGGCCCCTGGAGGGTGGTGGGGGCCGCGGCCGGTGTGTCTGGGCAGCCGGCGGCGTTCACGCTGCCACTCCCACCCGGCTGCAGTTCCCTGCACAGCAGCGAACGCTCGCCGTTGTCTCATGCCCTAGAAAGGCAGGCCTCCCCAAAGCAGGCGGTAGCGTCTGATTTTGAGGCAAGCTGAGTTCGGCTCTGCGCTGTCCAGACCCACAGGTGGCATTCCTCATTCGTTTATCCCATCTGCGCCCGGCGCTGCGGCCACAGTGATGACCGACAGACCGAGCTCCCGTCCTAGAGGAGCTGAGTCCCGGGAAGCTGACCAAGAAACCAGCAGTTAGGAAAGTGCATGACATGAGACTCCGTTCCAGAAGCCAGGACTGTTTATGGAGGGTGGTTTCCTGTGGGGCTGGGCCTCCGGGGCCTGGTGGGCTGCGGGAAAATCCAGATGATTTTAAGCTGAGGAGTGTCACAGCTGGACCTGTTTCAGAAATGTCATGCTGGCTTCTGTGTGTGGAGTTTCCAGGTGACCACTAGGGTTGGATAATAGCGTCACCCTAACTTCAGTTTCCTGACCCTTAGAATTCGGGTTGACCTGGGCCCCGCTTGAGGGATTAATACTTTTGTCCACTCACGTTAGCCCAGGCTCTGTGAGGTTCTCTTTAACTCTAGCATAGCAGAGCACCTTTTATTTTTGTGGCCTTATGGAGTGTTTATTCTAGTGCAGAATTAGTTGTTTCTTTTTATCTACTTCCAAGTGTACTGCTTGTTACGTCAGCAATGCAGCTGCCTTGAAGTTTGTTAATCCAGGAGGCCAGTGGTACTGTACTGGGAACTTTTGGCCCAAATTGAGTTTGAAGCACAAACGTTACGTTTCAACAAACAGATGGGCGTCTGCGGGGAGAGTTTGTGATTCACTGGAAACTCATATCTGTGGCTCAGGGGTGTGTTTGCTTGCATTGTTAAAGTGGGAGTGTCAGGAAAGCAACCCTGAGGTTTTGTTTGACTACTCTGATTCCTGCTGCTCCGCAGTTCTGAAGGGTGCAGAGGTGGCTGTGGATGAGTGGACCTGACAGTTTGGGAATTAATCCGGAACTGCCCATCGGTGTGTCAGCTGAAAAGCACTTCCTTCTCCACTTGGAGGCTGTCCTCGGTTGCTTCCACTTATAGTAACCACCTAATCACCAAGTCCTGGTGGGTGGACTGTTGTTTCTCTCACTGGGGACCCCTTGAAATAGCAAGAATGATGCCATGTCATGTTGACATTCACTGACCAAGCGCTCTTGGTGTCTGTGTGCCTCTTGTCCTTGGAGAAAGGGGCCATTTATAGCATGGAGAACTCCCCTTTTCCCACGGAGTACTTGCTTAGTGTGAGATTTTTACTGCTTGTCATAGTTACGGAAATGTGACCACAGTACTAATGTTTAAAACATTTTGTTTTCTTTACAAGGATACTTTGTGAATTTAAAGAATACATTATACCAATCCAAATCCAACACTTTGAAGCATCTTTTTATGTGTTTTAATGGAGGAGAGACATTAAGAACCCATGGTGTATTGAAGATCTTTAGATCTTCAGGCGTGAGCCACTACACCTTCAAGATTCTTGAAGTTAAAGCAACCTGGACAGGGCTTTTTGGACCCCACTTTATTTGTGTATGGGGTCAGACTCAATCCAAGAGCTTCATCTGGGGGAAAGATAACCCCTAAAAGGAGCTCAGACTGCTCTCTGATGCTTGGCGCAGTAGTGGCCAGTGCAGGTCCCCCAGGTGGTGGGTCCCACTCAACTGCTCCTACAGTGGGGACTCCTGATGTGGAAGAGGTATCTGTAGTTTTGCCCCTCTCACCCTGAGAAGCCTGGCTTTCTAATTGTCTAGAGTGCTATGGTGCCGTACGGTTCACAGTGTTGATACATACTACTGGTCTGCAACTCCTTCTTTTCTATTGAAATAGTGGGGTTTTTTGGTCTCCATATCTACCCTCTTTTCTCCCCCGGAATTGGCAATGTAGTTGTTTTCCATGCCTCTGTCACAGTGCAGAGTGGGCACCCTGCCCCTGTTGGCTGTTTGTCCTGCTGATGAGTATGGAGACTGCAGCCTGTGGCCTGCGGTGTGACAGGTGCCTGACAAGGAGATACTTTCACATACTGGTGTGTTCCTTTGTGCTTGCTGCGTTTACTGACTTGCCTGAAACTTTAGGAAAGTGCTGAAATGGGTCATGGAGGGTTAGTGTATCCTGACAGAAGAAAATGTTTTTTGTTGTTTTTTCCTTCAATTTCTGAAACAAATGAGACTGAATGTTCTTTAAAAATTGGTAAATGGAGTTTAAATTGAAGTCCTACAGTCATAGGACCTCAAAAGTCAGGGCAATCACATTCAGACTTAAGAAACACAAGGGCAGTTTTTATCTGTGGTTTTCTAGCACATGGTTTTTCTGTATCTCGTGATGAGATAAGAGATGTGATCTCTTAAAGAAATAAACACTGCTTGTGAAGCCATAACAAATGATTCATGCCTCTTCATTTCTCTTCTCTCTCTCTTCTCGCTCTCTCCTCTCTCTCTCCTCTTTTCAAGTTGGAGTCTTGCCCTGTCTCCCAGGCTGGAGTGCAGTGGCATGATCTCAGCTCACTGCAACCTCCACCTCTCAGGTTCAAGCGATTCTCCTGCCTCAGCCTCCCAAGTAGCTGGGATTACAGGTGTATGCCATCATGCCTGGCTAATTTTTGTGTTTTTAGTAGAGATGGGGTTTCACCATGTTGGCCAGGCCGGTCTCAAACTCCAGGTGATCTGCCTGCCTTGGCCTCCCAGAGTGCTGGGATTACAGGCGTGAGCCACTACACCTTTCTTTTCTTACTATGCAAGATGATGTGTTTTGAAACGACAGAATAGAATGACCTTTTTCCAGCTCTGATGTTATTTTCATGAGGACTGTAAACGTTGATGAAAACCCTCCCTGTTCTTGGCCTGCTGGGAGCGGGAGGAATGTTGGGTGGTTTTTTTTTTCCGGCCTCTTCCTCTCATGCCTCTCTGCTGACTCAGATTGACCTGTAATCCAGACATCTGTGAGTTTATGGTGTGTGTCTTGGAGCTCAGTTCTTTTAGTTCACACAAGACTAGTTATCAGAAAGAAGCTTTAAAAATGAAAATCCCGGGCCGGGCACGGTGGCTCAAGCCTGTAATCCCAGCACTTTGGGAGGCCGAGGCAGGTGGATCACGAGGTCAAGAGATCGAGACCATCCTGGTCAACATGGTGAAATCCTGTCTCTACTAAAAATACAAAAATTAGCTGGGCATGGTGGTGCATGCCTGTAATCCCAGCTACTCAGGAGGCTGAGGCAGGAGAATTGCCTGAACCCAGGAGGCAGAGGTTGCAGTGAGCCGAGATCGCGCCATTGCACTCCAGCCTGGGTAACAAGAGCGAGACTCCGTCTCAAAAAAAAAAAAAAAAAAAAAAAAAAAAGAAAATCCCCGTGAATGAGAACGGCATCATCCCTGTCTCGTAGCCACTGGTAGACTGAGGAGAGGAAGCACACGTACCCTTCCTTGTAGATGACTTTTCAGAAAGGACTCAAGTGGTGTGTTGGGCATACCCTCTTGTCTCCTTGCCCAGGTTTGATTTAGAAAGACCTCAGAGGTGCAGAACGTTGAAGGAATAGTGCAGTGAACTCCTGAATGCCCTTTCGTTCCCAACATTGGCTCCATTTGCTTTAGCATTCCCTCTCTGTATCTTGATGTTATTTTAAAAGTTTATAATACGGCCGGGTGTGGTGGCTCACACCTGTAATTCCAGCACTTTGGAAGGCCGAGGTGGGTGGATCGTGAGGTCAGGTGTTCAAGACCGGCCTGGTCAACATGGTGAAACCCCATCTGTACTAAAAATACAAAAATTAGCCAGGCATGGTGGCAGATACCTATAATCCCAGCTACTCAGACGGGTGAGGCAGGAGAATTGCTTGAACCCGGGAGGCAGAAGTTGCAGTGAGCTGAGATCGCGCCACTGCACTCCAGCCTGGGAGAGAAAGCAAGACTTTGTTTTAAATAAATAAATGTATATATATAAAATAAATTTTTTTGTGTTTATTTTTAACAATTGATTTTGCTGGGCATGGTCACTCATGCCTGTAATCCCGCACTTTGGGTGGCTGAGGTGGGGAGCATTGCTTGGGGGTCAGGAGTTCAAGACCAGCCTGGGTGACACAGAGAGACTCTATCTCTACTTATATTTTAAAAATGTGTTGTAAGTTGACATATCACAATTGTATAGCTTCTTGTTATTTTGACCAAACCATATGAGAGTAAGTTACTAATGTGGCCATTTATTTCTACATTCTTCAGTATATCACCTAAGAAGGAGAACATTCTTCTGCATAACTGAAGTACATATAATTATCAAAATCTGGATATGTAACATTGATACAATATCATTGAATACCTGAGTTATAATAGGGCAAATCATATACAAATTTTACCAGTCCCCAGCAATGTCCTGGGGGGACACCCACCCACCCAGAATCCAGGATCACAAGTTGGATTTAATTGTTAATCTCTTTCATCTCCGTTGATCTAGACTAGTTCCTCAGTCTGGCTTTGTTTTCAGAAAGCCAGTTTGTGGAAGGAGCCTCAGTGGGTCTTACCAAGTGTTTCCTTTGATTCAACTCCGGTGCACTTTGGCAGCAGCACAATGATTATGTCCTCTCAGTGCCCTGTGGGAGGCACACACTGTCACTTTGTCCCATCATCATGTTGTCCTGGGTTATGGTGGGGATGACTGATCACTTGCAAGGTGCTACCTTCTCTCCGTGAATAATGATTCACCTCTGGGGAGGGGCTTTGAGACTGTCTTGTCGGTCTACAGGCAGACCCCAGGGTCTTGGCATCCTCGAGGCATTCCTGCCTGCATTCGTGTTGACTGTGATGCTGGTGAAATGGAGGCTTCTCAGCTCATCATTTCTTCAGCATTTGCCACTTGCCTTCCTTTATTTCATGTCAGTATGGATTCTATAGGTTAGAGTTCATGACTGTTGTTAGAGTGAACCCAAAGTTTCTCTTCAAAGAATCAGCGTGTCAGCATGTTCAGCTCTCTTATTCTTTAATTCTCTGTTTTAAAGTTTAATTTCCTTGTAGTTTCAGTAAACAATATTTTCCACTGATTCTAATCAGGAGTGCACATCTGTTCCTCTGGTCCCCTGCCCTGTCCTGACTCATCTTGGTCACCTGCTCTGGTCACCTGCTTTGACCCCTGCTTACCTACTCTGACCTACCTGTAACATCCTTCCTGCCAAACTACCTACCCCTCCACTCCAACTCGTACCCCTGCTCCCTTTAAAATAGCCAATCAGAGTTAACTAGACTGTGCGGTCTAACTGTAGCCAGTAGGGGAACAACACAGCAGTAGGGGCGACCTCGGTCAGAAGGGGACAAGGAGACCCCTTCCCCTTCTTGTCTAGGTGTGTACTCGCCATTGTTCCATCTGTGAGACGCACCATTCTGCAGAAGTAAATTGCCTTGCTGGGGAAATTTATGTTCGAGTGCTACTTCTTTTGCGGCGTCAAAAATTCTACGTATAACACTGTTATCATTTATTTTGGTGTTCACTTGGCCCACATTTGGCCATAAAGACTCTGCAGGCTGGCATTTGGGTCCTCTTGCCATTCGTTCATGTCTGTGTCACTCTCGGGCACTGCATGCTGTCTGTGGCTCATCTTGTCTGCTTTCTGCCCCACTTCTGGAATCAGCCATTTCTCCAAGGAGCTCTACTTCCTGTTAGTGGGGAACAGCATCTAGAAGGCAAGACCTGGGCACCAAAAGCATGCCTCTGCTACTGGGTGTTGTCCTTTCTCGGCCCCTTCAGTGGACAGAGCTAGGAGTTGAATTTTAAAATCAAGAGTTTGTCATGGTGCCCATCACATTGCAGCCCCGCGGGGGTCTTTGCCCACCGTCAGCCTCAGTTGCCCCTTCCTCCCACAGCACCAAGTCACTGGGGACTTGGAAACATCAGCAGTGCTGTTCTATCAAAGTACCCTGTAACCCTGCCTCTCAGCAGTGCTTTAAGAAAATGAGGCTTTTCACTGGTTGTCAATTTTCTTTAGCTCCCTGGGGCTGAATAAGTACTACTTAGTGATAACTGCTGTAGAACATGTGACAAAATATGCTTTCATTTCAAATAAAGTGGGGTTTTATTTAGAAAAATAGGATGTGGAACTACAGTGCTAAATAGAAGGGCCCCAACAGGGGACTCTGTAATTATTAGTCCCTCTTGGTAAATGTGATGAGTGAAATTGTAACTTAAAGCTAAAGCTCTTTTCCCTCCATTTCATCATGAAGCTCTTCACACGTACAGCAAAGCCGAGAGGGTGTGTGGTGCACGCTGGCATACCTGCCACCGAAGCCGTGGCCACGCTTTGCTGTGTTGCATTTGTCCAGGTGTCCCCCACAGCCTTCCACACCTGCGTGTCAGTCACAGACATGAGTGCAACGTCCCTGCCTTCACCGTGCCTGTCAGGGACCAGCGTTCAGCAGTTGTCTTGTGTTTTTCCTTTCAAGATACATTTTTTAAACAGGAAAATGTGGGAAATTTAACTGCACTGTTCAGTGACTTACATCTGCATAGCCCAGACCCAGACAGACCTCAACCTGGAAGATTCAGCCTCCCCCACGCATGGCTGTCCCCAGGCAGCCATTGCCCTCTTCCATCCGTAGGTGAGTCTCACCTGTTGTAGAGCTGCATGGCCACGACATCACATGGTAGGGTCCTCTGTGTAAGGCGTCTTTCACTCATGTGATGTGCTTCAGACTCATCTACCTTTTACACAGACCAGTTCATTTCTTTTTATTGCCGAACGGTGTTAGTGATTGCACAGCCACATGGCTCACTAAAGGAGAGACATGTCAAACAGCCTTTTGTGTTTGGAATGTCTTTTCCAGAAGATCCCTTCCTACAGGGGCCATGTGATTGCTGTGCTTGGTGCCTTGCTCGTATTGTGTGAGTGTTCCAGCCTGGCCACCTCCTACAGAGCGACATCTGGGCTGTGTTCAGCTTGGGGCCATCACACAGCGTTCCCACGCAGGTCTGTCTGTGGATGCAGGCTCCCTCTGTCCTGGAAGAAATAATAAAGTTGGAATTGCTGAGTTGTAGGTGGTCGCATGTTTGCTTATGAGCAGCTGCCAGACCTTCTTTGCAAATAGTTGAGCCGTTTACGCTTTCACCAACACCGTGTGAGAGTTCTGTTGCTGTACATCCTTGCCAACATTTGGTATTATCATTTTCTTTAAATGTAGCCACTGTGGTGGGTGTGCAGTCATCTGTCATCATAGTTTTAATTTGCATTTCTCTGGTGGCTGGTGATGTGCACAGAGCTCTTTTCAGTTCACGTTGTGTGTGTGTTTTAAGGGATTTGGGGAGTAGGCAGTCAACTTGGTTGCGTATTGGAAATTATTCATGCAGTAGCTCTTGCTTCTTATTGGCTTGAGTTCCAGAGCTGTTGGTGGTGTGGAGTTTGACCCCTTCCTTAGCAGCAGTGCTGTGAGTAGTGGGCAGAGTTCCAGGGTGTTCTGTATGATTGGCGCAGGCTGGCCTGCCAGGCCTTCTTGGTACAGGGAGCATAGCCCAGTCTGGGGTGAGGCTGCCAGGGAACTGAGACCTTGCTTTGTCACATGAGCTTCGTGGGTGAGTCTGAAGACATGAGGGTGCTGCTTGGCAGTGTCACTGGTGTTGCTCTGGCCTTGGATGGAGGCTCCTGAGTTCCCTAAAGAGTGCTTGCTGATGAGCGGGAAGGTCCCAGTGGGTCCATGGTTAGTCATTACACAGCCACGGGCGCACCTTCTCTCGCAGAGAAATCTGAAACACAGCCTTCTGTGTTGGGACTCTTCTCTCCCAGAAGAGCTCTTGCGGATAGGAGCTGCATGTTTGTCCTGCCTGCAGCGGGATTCCTGGACGCTGGTTCCAGACCTCTTGAAGAAGGCTGGTTAGCAGCAGGGGTTCAGGGAGAGGAACTTCACTTGGTGATTCCAAATCACAGGTTCTTGGTGCCACGTCCCTCACTGGTGCCCCCCGCCCTGCTGGACTAACATTTCCATTGCCTGATTCTCAGTGACTGACTTGTCTCTCGCCTCTCTCTCCCCGCAGCATGTTCTCAGAACACAAACAAGACCTGTGAAGAGTGCCTGAAGAACGTCTCCGTAAGTAGCATGCGGACTAGAGGGCTTTCTCCAAGTCCAGGGAGTCACCTGGATATTAGGAGAGCTCTGTTGTTTGGGACTGGGGCTGTGTTTTATGATGTTTTTTAAATGTTATTTTAGCCCTTGCAGGCATATTAAACCTTCTCATGAAAACTGCAGCTACTGCCTGAGCATGATCAGTATCCGTGATTCACTCCTGAGCAGATGGGGCCATGCTGTGTGCTCTGCACTTTGGGGTCAGCTTTTCTAACAAGGCCCCTGTCGAGAAATTGGGCGGTCCGTAAAGCTGGAACCTACACCCCAAAGCTGTGAGCCTGTGTTTTCTTGGCTGTGAAGGGCTGCAGTGGAAGCTGCTTTCTGAGCTGCTCACACTGGATCGGAAGGGGCACAGCAAGGAGAGAGAGGCCAGTGGGCCAAGCCTGTCCACAGCGTTCTTTGGTCATGATCAAAAGGTTTGGACGTTGTCCCAGGTTTTTAAAATACCTGTGTGACCTTCCGCAGGAGCGCAGCAGTCTGGAGCAAAGTTCCCTAAGACTCCGTGGTATGAGGTGGGGCCCGAGCCTCCCCAGGGTGCCTTCCCGCTGGAGTCAGATGTAGACGTCCTTGTGGGAGAAGGAGCAGCCATGGTGGGGAAGCAGAAGCACACTGCAGGTCTTGTGAAGGCGTGTGAACGGGGTCCCCTGGCTTTCTCTGCGTGGGGCCTGCTCCCGGGCCAGCCTGGCGGGCGCCTCTTAGGCTCGTCTTGCCACGGAGCTCTTGGTTCAGTAGCACCTAAGTTAGAGCCTCCTCGTGGCACCGTGAGGTCAGCGTGGGAAACCTGAGGGCAGGCCCGTGCTGGATGGGAGTGGTTGGGCAGAAAACAGCATCCCACAGAAAACAGTGGGGCTTTTTCTCAGGATTCCTGAGAGGCCACCCCCTGCCCCTTCCAGTCCGGGGTTTACCAGGTGTTGAGAACTGCTGAGCCCGAGGTCTCCTTTCCCCGACAGTCAGGTTTGATGCCACGAGGCAGGTTGGGAAAGATGTATTAGATGATTTCCAGCCTAAGGCCTGAACTGTGTTCTTAAAAATCAGTTCTGGCCAGGCGCGGTGGCTCACGCCTGTAATCCCAGCACTTTGGGAGGCCGAGGCGGGTGGATCACGAAGTCAAGAGATCGAGACCATCCTGATCAACATGGTGAAACCCCGTCTCTACTAAAAATACAAAAAATTAGCTGGGCATGGTGGCGCGTGCCTGTAATCCCAGCTACTCAGGAGGCTGAGGCAGGAGAATTGCCTGAACCTGGGAGGCGGAGGTTGCGGTGAGCCAAGATTGCTCCATTGCACTCCAGCCTGGGTAACAAGAGCAAAAACTCCGTCTCAAAAAAAAAAAAAAAAAAATCACTCCATGAGGCAGTGGCGCAGGCTGGACACATACCTCTTCAGTTTGTGGGACTTGAGTGGATACTTGATTTCTGAATAAAAAAGTGGAAGATGCTGTTTCTGTGGTTTCAAATCTTGCCATTGGTGATGTTGAACTTGCTCTAATGTGTCTGGTCCTGGTGTGTTTTCTCCATGCTGCTGCTTTTTAGTCTCTGGATTTTTCCATTGGAAGTCATGCCAGCCTTGAACATAGCTCACTGTTGCATGTAGCTTTGTGGCCTAGAGAGCGTTTTTACTGGAGTGCACTGTGTAACCCCTCACCACCCTTGGCGGGTATGGTGACAACAGCGATCTCATGGCTGAGGCAGCCGATGGACTTGCCCAGGTCATTGTGGATGGGGCCAGTCCAGAAGGGCTGAAGGCCTGACTCCAGCTCTGAACCCAGACAGGGCAGTGCAGAGGGCCACTTTCCTTGCGGCTAGCTTCAGGCATGTGTAGGTGTGCTCTTGGGCACACAGGAGGTTTCTGGAAGGAGGTGCCAGTTCCTGGAAGGCCTCAAGAGGACCCTGCATGTTGGAAGAGAGGCTGTGGTGGGCTGTGGTCATGTTCCTGAGGCTGTAGTAGGCTATGGGTCTCTGCAAATGATGGCCATGCTCACCAGAGTCCACTCAGCACAAACTCAGTGAGTACTTGTGATGGGCAGGCTGTGTTCTGTGTTCTGCGGACACTTTAGCCAGTGAAGTGCACAGATGCCTGCCCTCAGGCACACAGAGCATGGTGGATATGGTGCCCAGGTGCTCAGCATGTGGGGAGGTGACGGAGGGGTGGCGGAGGTGAGCCACAGTGTTCAGTTAGTTGGTCGGGGCGGGGCTCGTCCAGTTGGTGGGGAGTCACACAGATGTGGAGAGAGTACTCCAGACAGAACAGGCAGGCTAAGCAGAGGCTGTGAGCAGGGGGTGGGGATTGGCAGCACCCAGGAGCAGCACAGAGGCCCCTTGGCCTCAGCAGGGTGACTTGTGGAAGGGATCTGAGTGATAGAAGCCTTGGGTGAGTCTGTGGAGAGCTGACAGGGCTGCCGGCCGCCATGCTGGGTGTGGACTGAAGGCAGGGACGAGGTGGGAGGTGGGAGGCTGAGCCGTTCCAGCTGTTCACAGAGCAATGGCGGCACTGGTGGGCTGTGGGCAGAGCCTGGACAGTTCTTTCTTTGGTTTTCTATTGCGTTTCTAACGTTGTTGGTCTCTTTCAGTGTCTTTGGTGTAACACTAACAAGGCATGTCTGGACTACCCAGTGACAAGTGTCTTGCCACCTGCCTCCCTTTGTAAATTGAGCTCTGCACGCTGGGGAGTCTGTTGGGGTAAGTCATTGTTTTCATTTGCTTCTTGCAAAATCGATACTTCTTTGAAAATAGTAGTATGTGCTCAATTAGCAGAAGTTGCTGAAAATGTGCTGCCAGTAGCTTTGTGACTCCCAGCAAGGCGTTGGGAAGCCAGGGGTGATCTGGTGATGGGAAAGCAGCCTAGGGCTCCCTGGGGAACCTGGAGGCCCTCTTTCAAGGTTGTCAGCCCCAGCTCTATCTCACGATGTTACGGAAGGCGTCAGGGGAAGGGTGAGTTTGAAGGCAGCGTTTTGACTTCTCTGCATAGTATGTTTTATTCATATGTCACCCTTGACACTCATCTGTGAATTCCTCTAGAATCTCCAATTTTCCAGCTTACGAATCCTTGCTTAGCGTGGACACAGGCCTCTCTTTTTGTATGTATATCTTTATATATTTGATTTTGCAGGCTTTTTAAATTAGGGGGATCAGCTCTTGTGAGATTCAGATTGTTTCCTAGTTTGTCTTTTAAATCAGTCTGTGGTGTGTTTTGTTACCTGGAACTCATTATTATGTAGTTGAATTTAATCTTTTAGGCCTCGGGTTTTGGGGTAATACATAGGCTTCCTAAGCTTTGCAAAGGAGCCAGTATTTTCTGAAGGTGTTTGGATGATTCTTTCTGTTTATTTGCATCTCGGATCCCCCTGCAACTTCTGTCTTAAATATCGTGCTTCGAATTGATTTCCATTTCCAAGTCTATATAATGCAGTCTATATAATGCAGACATGTGCACATACATATATTCAGTGCATTTTTGCAGTCCTTATCACCACTCACAGCAAAGTAGGTAGGACTTCCAGGACTCTTCCCAATTCCTGCCAAGACCTCCACAGGAGCCACTGACTGACTTCCCATCACACAGATTGATGTCACTGGTTCGTGGCCTGTATGTGGAGGAAGCCCTGTACTTCCTCTGACTTTTTATTCGGCACATGTCCGAGTTCACGTCAGTCTCGTGCAGTGTCCCGCACAGCTGTCCAGCCACACGCCGCTCGGGACGTCTGGGTCCTAGTGCTGCTAGGAGTGGTCGTGTTGGCGCTGACGCAGGCGCTGACGTCTCTGGAGGTGGGAGGTCGGAGTTGTTGAGTCACGGTGCACATTTGTGTTTAGTGTTAGTAAGTCTGCCAAACGTTTTGCGTAGCTGTGCCAGTTTGGCCTCCTCCAGGCAATGTGGGACTTGGTTCCTCCACATCCCTCCTGACGTTTAAGGTAACCAGCCACCCTAATTTTAGTCCATCTAGTGGGTGTGTAGTGTGTCTTGTGCTTCTCATTTGCATTTCTGCAGTGACTAGTCGGTCACGTTGAGCACCTTTACACATGGTGGGCGTTTTTGACAATTCTCTTGTGAAATGAAATTCCCACGCTTGGCTACAGAAATGGATGGATACACAACACTCACCCCTGCACATGAGAGCAGCAGCAGGTGATCAGTCACAGTCACAGCAGGGAGGGGCACCACACGCCACACAGGGTCACACAGGGGAACAGGCCGGGACTCGGGAGGCAGCTGCGGCGTCACAGGAGGGTGGGGCGTGAAGAGCTTCTTCGGTTAATTCTGAGGCTGAGAGGGAACTGCGATACCCGCTACTCTGGGAGAAGCAGGAAGTGTGCCTGACATGCCAGGGGAGCAAGAGGCTGTCTGAGCCAGGACCTTGTCCAACCTTGTCCACAGGGCCTGAGTAGGGAGGAGAACTCGTGGCTGGGCCCTCAGGGCCCTCCTGGTTTCACCAGATCCCACGGCGCACATGATGCTAATTTTAGGTCTTGCACCACAGACCTTTATTTATTCTTACAAATAACTTTAGAACCATTTATCCGTTTCTAGGCAAAATGTTTTTGGAGCTTTAATTGTAATGACCTAAAACACACGCTCACTTGGAGGTAAATGAGATGTCTGCAGCATTGGCTGCTCGTCCAGAGACAAAGATGCCTTTCTTTGCCAGGTCTCTCCTACATCCTTTGGTTCAAGTTCAACTTCTTCCTGGGTTTTACCCTCTATAATCAGCAAAAAGGAGCCCTAAATTTGTTTCCCATTATGACAGGATTTCTGTTTGTTTTTAACTAGTTTTAGCTGCTAATCAGAAAAGCTGTCTGAGGAGGGGTAGATATGTTTTAGGGCCAGCCATCTTGTTGATCTCATTGGGTTTTTTAGTTTATTTTTCTGGAGTTCTCCAGTCAAAAAATGACATCTTTAGCCAGGTGCAGTGGCACATGCCTGTAATCCCAGCACTTTGGGAGGCCGAGGTAGGTGGATCACTTGAGGTCAGGAGTTCAAGACCAGCCTGGCCAACATGAGCAAACCCTATCTCTATTTAAGAAAATACAGAATTAGCTAAGTGGTGGTGCATGTCTGCAATCCCGGCTACTCGGGAGGCTGAAGCAGAAGAATTGCTTGAACCCGGCAGTGAGCCAAGATCGTGCCATTGCACTCCAGCCTGGGCAACAGGAGCAAAACTCCGTCTCAAAAAAAAATGACGTCTTCTGCCAATGAAGGTCCCCTCTCTAGTTCTCCCTATTACTATAATGTTTGCAATTCTATATTTCCAGAACGGTTCAGAGAAAGAAAAAACACAGAAGCTCAAAAGGCATTTGATCAGATGTAACTCCCATTCCTGATTTTCAAACTAGTTTAATCAACTAAAAAATGAGTTCTGTTAAACAAGTAACTCACTAGAAGTGTATCTCAGTGCGCACGGCAGCAAAGGGCCAGACTGAGGGCGTCCCAGAGGCTGGCCTTCTGCCTCCACGCAGCCCCTGGAGGTCAGAGGCTATCACCTGTGGTGTGGCACAGCTGCTAACTAGAGCTACCAACAGAGTGAATCTCAGGTCATCTACTGCCCAGGGGAGTTTGCTCATAAAGCCGTCTTCAGGAGGCTGGGTGGGTATTTTCTGTTTTTTTTTTGAGACCGTGTTTTGCTGTGTTGCCCAGGTTGGAGTGCAGTAGTGCAGGCATGGCTCATTGCAGCCTCAGCCTCCAGAGCCCCAGCGATCCTCCCACCCAGCCTCCCATGTCGCTGGGACCAGACATACATGCCACCGCATCCAGCTAATTTTGTGAAAGTTTGTGTAGAAATGGGCAGGGGTGGGGCCTCACTTTGTTGGCCTGGCTGGTGTTGAACTCCTGGACTCACGCACTCCTCTTGCTTCGGCCTCCCACAGTGCTGGGATTATAGGTGTTCCAGCCAAGGAGGCTGTTGGAACTGGCTGATTGAAAACACATTTGCAGAGCAGTGTTAGGGTGTTTTCTAATTGGCTCTGGTTTGAACCGAATGGAAAAATCTTGGCTGATTTTAATTTATAGATCTTTAAAAGAAGTTGAATAGTAAGATTTGTTTTAAATTTGCATGTGTCTCTGAAGGTTGGTTGTGGAAGGCATTGGTGTTTGGTACTGATTAGCCATTTTTTAACCCTAGGGAACCCAAAATATTGAGATTTGAAGATGACCCCATCTTATTCCATGGCCTGGTCTGCCCCTCCCCGGTCATTCCTTTTGAATCTGGCAGTCAGTATGTGCCCTGAGAGTTTCTTTCTTTTGTAAATAATTGTAATATTTTTGACTTTGGTTTAAATAAAAAACAAAGCTACATCTGGCTTCACCTCCATTTCTATGAGTTTAGAATGTCTTAGGAGAGTCTGAATATACAGCTTAGAATTCTGGTTTAGTTAACTTTTCTCATGCTTCAAATACCTTTTCAAACTCAAGTGAGAAGACTACCCTGTCACTTGGGTTCATCGTGGTTAATCCATAATGGTAAGTCACAGATAAGAACCTGTGGCTGAAAGGAGGCTCAGAGAGTGCCGGACGCTGTGGGGTGGGTGCAAGGCCACAGGCTCTCCACACCCCGGAGCCAGCAGCTGGGCCAAGGTGTTTCCTACTTAATGCTCCCGTGTTCTGAGATGGTTCCCAGGGACTAGGGAAGGGTGCTGCGCTGGGGTGGTTCTCTGTCTGTGGCGGCCCTGACTCGAGATGTGTGACTCTCCAGTGAACTTTGAGGCGTTGATCATTACCATGTCGGTGGTTGGAGGAGCCTTCCTCCTGGGCATCGCCGTCTGCTGCTGCTGCTGCTGCAGGAGGAAGAGGAGCCGGAAGCCGGACAGGAGCGAGGAGAAGGCCATTCGTGAGCGGGAGGAGAGGCGGATACGGCAGGAGGAACGGTGAGGTCGCGGCGATCCCCTCTGGGAAGAAGTTCACCTTGAGGGGATTCACATCTGCAAGGCTGTGGGAGTCACGTGTATTCATCATGAGCTTTCCTCAGGTTTTAGAAATTAAGAATGTATGTAGCACCCAGGGGATCTTCTAGGTCATGGTGGAGAGTGAGAACAGGGTGGGAACCCGGTGGTGGCCGTGGAACTCGCTTCCACAGGCTTCCTTGCCTGTCTCCCCCAGTCCGTGCAATGAGACTCACGTCTGTGGCGTCATGGGTCTGTTACAGTTGCTAAGGCGGCTGGTCCAGGCCCTTCATGTGCCAGGAGCAAGCTGAGGCTCAGAGGGGACAGCGTCTGCCTGTGGCCAGGTTGGCTGTCCTGTCACCATTCCCTGGTGACACAGTACTCTCCTGTGTGCTGGGGCTGCTGGGTAGCCCTGGGCGGAGGTGGTGTCAGCCACACCTGGCAAGAGAGTCAAGCTGGCGGCTGGTGAGGGTGGAGGCGGGACAGATTTTCCATGTATCCACCTTGAAGTGACATGCTACTGAGTAAAAGCTGACAATCACATTTCCTAACTGTCTTCAGAACCTGGTGTACGATTTTTACTCGTCAGTGTATTTTTTTGGTATGAAAAAAGCTTTTTAAAAATCACAGTATTGGGCATTTGTATTGATTTTATTGAAAAGAATAGATAATACATTGGAATAGCCTTGGAAGACTGGGTTCATTGTCACCCTGCCTGTCCTCATGGGTGTGTGGCCCGGTGACCAAGCTTGTCCCTACCCTGGTTTCACTCTGGAAACTGGAGGGAAGCCACCAGAAGAAACCTGCGGCCCCTCCTGAGGGACACGGAACGGAGGGCGTGTCTTGCAGTTACAGTGAATGCTGTAGCTTGGTGCTAATCACGTTTCTCTGTGTTTTAGGAGAGCAGAGATGAAGACAAGACATGATGAGATCAGAAAAAAATATGGTAAGGACGGGTCCAACCCCTTCTGGACAGGGTGGGAGGCGATGCTATGATGTCTTGGTCCTTGTTAGTGCTGGTGGGGCCTGACACTGGGCTGTGGGTTCATCCATCGGAATAGAACCAAGTGCCGATGGGGCCTGAGATTGGGCTAGGGGTTCACCCATCAGTACAGAACCGCGTCTCTCAGAGAGGAGCAGCTGGCATTTCCGCGGCGGTGCTGCGGTGAACTCGCTCCTAGGAATATTTGATCTCAGCCAGTTGTCTTTATGAAGTCTGCTTTCCCAGGTACCCGTTTGCTTATCAAGCCACAAGACCTCTGGGCTGGAAGTCTCAGCTGTTCCGCCATCGCGTTAGGCTTCCTGTGGGTCCACCTATGTAACCGAGGTGCCAGTGCCGCGAGTTTCCCGTCTTTGTTTGGGGACAGCCCCTCACCCTCGGGAGCAATGCTGGTTGCCATCTTCTGAGTGTGGCAGGAGCTCCTTCCGAGAATTTCCCGGCACAGGCCCTGTTCCCTCTTGCCCAGCCTTGGTGCTCTGTTGTTTGGTTGTGTCTGGAGAGATTTTGAGGGGGAGCTTTGAAGGAGTCAGAATGAATGTATTTGCCAAAAGTAAACCTTGTTTTTAGTTGGAGTGAATTGGAAACACACATTACATTACCTGTCCTCCCCCAGATCACGTGATGTTCACTGCTTGGCGTTGAACCTAGGCGTGCTTCGTTGACTGTGTACTGATTTTAAAGTCCGCAAAGATTACGAGCGTCCCCCGCACTGCGTTTGTGGTTGTGTAGCAGACTTGGTGGAAACTGTCTCCTCGCCGTACAAGGCGTGTGGCCCTGGGCTCATGGAAGCCGCGGTCCTCAGGAATGTTGTCCTGCGCCCACAGTGCTTTCCTTGAAACCTAACTGGAAAATTTCAGAGCCTTTTCTGGCTGCTGCAGTGTTTTAAGCTCTGTTTGTGTTAGGAAGTTTCATGTATTTGTGGTACTTTAGGACCCCACCCTCGGGGACATGAAGACATTGCTGCGTGCTTTCCGTCATCTGCTGGGGGTGTTACTGCGAAGCCCAGCAGCACCGTGAGCAGCACCTCTGTCAGGGACGGGTGGTGGGCGTCGTAGCCCCAGAGGCTTATTTCCCTCCTGTGGGGTCTGTAGAGGCCCCATGCTGCTGGTGCCCTGGGCTGGAAATGCTGGGTAGCTCTGCCCATTGGCTGGGGTGTCCCCTCCCTGTGAGTTCTGGCCTCCTTGGAAAGTCACCTCCATGTGACCATGCTGTGACCTGAGGCCAGGTGGGTCCCGTCAGTCTCAAAGTGTTGGCTCGGTGGCTTGAGGCTGCCTTGGCTGCTGGTCTTGAGACGCCCAGGGGCTGATGGAGGCTTTTTCCTGTGTTGCTGTCCATCAGTCTCCTGAGTGCTGCATGCTTTGGCGGTGCCGCACGGGGTCTCTGGGTTCTCCAAAGTGGAGCCTTCGATGCCTCCTTGTCCTTGCCCCGCCCCCTCCATCACCTGTGTTTCCTGGAGTGTGTCTGTTATGGGTAGTGACCAGGCGCCAGGGTGCCACTGTCACGAGGAGCAGCACCAGGTCGCCCTCTTTCTCAGCGAGCGCATGCCTGTGTTGGTGAAGCCTGGGCCCAGCGGCGTCTGTGCAGGCCTGTCCTGGAGGCAGTGTGGTTTCCCTGAAACGGAAGAGTCAGAAAGAGCTTTTTGGCACGTGATTAATGCTGATTCATGTTAATGTAAATAAAACATGAGGTGGACACACACATGCACACACATACACACTGCACAATGCTTGTTATCGCCAAGTGCAACCCGTGTTTAAAGTTGCTCGGCCCTTACTGCGCCCCGGCTCCAGGGGGTGTGGGGCTGAGGGCGGCCAGCCAGGCTCTGGGCGGACCTGCGTCCTCTGTGTCTGGGCCCTTATTCGCTTACACCTGCCATTTCGGTGGTTAATTTGGCTCTTTAACTGCACTGATGAAATTAGCTTTTTGTGCCAGTTTGTAATAAAGCCCGTTGAATGGCCTGTGCTTTGGGAAGCCTCGGCTAGTTAGAAGAATTCCAAGAAATTCCTGATGGGAGAGTGGGAGAAAGTGTGAGTCAACCTGGTGCAGTTATTTAAAATAGCAGCGCACACGCAGGAACCTTATTTTGTCTTTGGTGTCTCCTCTAAACTGGAAGTCGACTCAGGAGCAAGTTTTCCAGTGGGACCTTAACTGCCTACAGCTGGTATCTGCTGACTCTTTCCCCAAACCTGTAGGGCACGTTGGGAGCCAGATGCAGGGCTGAGGGTCGTGGGGTGAGCCTTATGCTGTGCTGAGGCGCAGGATCCGAGAAATAAAGAGACAGGACACAGAAGTACAAAGAAAACGCAGCTGGGCTCGGGAGGCCACGCCACCTATAAGCAGAGTCAGGCGAGGCCCGAATGTCCAGAAGCGAGAGTATTTATTGTGTATAGGTTGGGGGCAGGGCAGTGAGTGGAATCATCTTTAAGGATAGTGATAGGATCGTGAGCAATAAAACAAGGGGTCCACCCCCATTAGGTCACCTAGGCCAGGTGGACAGTGCGCAGCAAGGGGCCTGTTCCCACGAAGGCAAGGGCCGTGTGCAGTAAGGGGTCCACCCCTATTAGGTCACCGAGGCTTGAAGGTGGGCCGTGCGCAGTGAAGAGGGTGCAGTGTGCAATACTTCTGTCTATGGGCAAACTACCTCTAAGAAGATTTATAGGAGGATGCTTTAAGTCACATAGCAGTGACAGGGCTGTCAGGGTTACCACCACCTTCTGGGAGCTTCCAATGGCTTCTATGGGAAGATGCTTTTCAAGCATCACAGTAGCAAGAGCTGATAAAGTTCACAGTCCCCAAGGTGGATTGCCGTTCGGAGCGCAGCCTTCCACGGGAACTGGAGCAAGGTCCTACAACTCCTTGATCAGGAGGAGCGGCTCTCGCCCCAAGCCTGCCACACAGCGGGTATCTTTACGATACTGAACGCTGCTGCCCGGGCCATGGATTCTTGTCCTGGTGTAACTGTCTTCCCTTAAATCATGCTCTGCACTGTGTCTGCTCTAGGCATTCCTCCGATTATAAGCTGCTTATCCCTTAATTCATGCTCTGTACTGTGTCCACTCTAGGCATTCCTCCGATTATGAACTAAGATATAATTATAGGTATATATGTAGGGAAATATTCTTCAGGCACGAATACTATCAACTATTGTATGATTCTATGTAGAGGATTATATAAAGGGATTCTTCAAGCCCTATTTCTACAAACTAATATATGATTATGTAAAGGATTATGTAAAAGGAAATAGCTGAGTAGTAACACTATAAAGTGAGATATTCCTCAAGCCCTAACTGTGCCAGGGTTCTTAGCTCTCATTCCTCAGTGCCTATATGGGGGGTTACCCACAAAACTGACTTTGAGCCTCATCTCCCAAAGCCTGATGCCTGGGCCCTCCTTGACAGGCAAGAAAGAGACGAGGCCAGGCCCTTCCTCACCGTCCTCTGCTTCCCCACCTCCTCCTCCATGCAGCCCCCAGAATACCTGCAGTGGATAGCTTTGTTGTAATTGTTGCAGATAATTTTAGTGTACAGTACAGATTTTTAAAGGGAGACAGAGGCTGGGCGCAGTGGCTTACGCCTGTAACCCCAGCACTTTGGGAGGCCAAGGTGGGCAAATTACCTGAGTTCAGGAGTTCGAGACCAGCCTGACCAACATGGAGAAACCCAGTCTCTACTAAAAATACAAAAATTAGCTGAGTGTGGTGGCACATGCCTGTAACCCCAGCTACCCAGGAGTCTGAGGCAGGAGAAACACTTGAACCTGGGAGGTGGAGGTTGCAGTGAGCCGAGGCATTCTGTTGCACTCGAGCCTGGGCAACAAGAGTGCAACTCCATCTCAAAAAGAGTTAAAAGAGAGAGAGAGAATGTGTGTGCATGTGTTTCTGCAGCATACAGGGAAAATTTCTGGTCCTCGGGCAAGTACCACGGGTTTACTGTCATGGATAAATACACATTTCATCCCAGTTCTGTCGCAGTACTCAAGAGTTAGATTGATGGTCATCTTAGTTTTCTGTAGCCTTAATTCCAAAGGTTAAGGAGCAGTTATAAGCACAAAGTAAGGTTATTTTGTTTAGCCAACCACTGTGGAAGGAAATATTTGCCTTAAATTTCTTTTCTTTGCTGAGCATCAGGAAATCAGTGCCTATCTCTTAGGATCTGTTACAATTCTTGTTTCTAGTAAATTGTATTTCAGTTTTAAGGTTTAAAATGGTGAGACTTCAGAAAAGGTTAAGCAGAGTATGGGAGGCTGCTTAGAACACCCGCTGTTGCTGCAGCCTCAGTCATTCTTATAAAACTCGCCTGTATGGCCTCTTAAAATTTTGTTTCTAGTTGAGTGAATGAATTTATGATTCAAGTGTATTTTATTTTCAGGCCTGTTTAAAGAAGAAAACCCATATGCTAGATTTGAAAACAACTGAAATGCTCCAACCCGCCAGGCAGTCCCGAAGCTTCCTGTGAGGTGCGCACACTCCACAGCACAGCCCGGCCGGGAGACCACGTGACCTTGACCAGTGCAGCCTTCAGGACAGGCGCTCGCAGAACTGCCCCTAAAGGACAATCGTCCTCTTGTCCCTGCAGACTTGTGACCTTTGATTCCTTGTTCATGCCTATATTTAGTCACTTGAAATGGGAAGCCTTTGGGGTTTGGGTTTTGGAGGAGGAAACGTGCCTATTCCACTACTCGTCTCAGTCTGTAAGCCGACTGCACACCAAGCCGCCTGGCGGCCCCGGCGCTGTGGCTGTTCATTCTCCTGGGCAGCAGCAGAGCCCGGCGTCCTCTCTGTCCACTAACAAGCTTACATGCAACAATGGGAAGCCGATTTTCCTTTTGTCATTTCCCCATAAAACCGTGGACAGTGTTCGTACACGTGTCTTAAGTCTTCACACCTGTTGACTCACGTGGCTTTTGCTGGTGACAGGGCTCCAGTACACGGTCTGATAAGGAGCTCCTCTTCCTAACTTCAATTCTGTTAAATGGCATTGAGGAGTCGCTAAACTTAAACCTTTAAAAAAAATTACTGGATTTTCTCCCCTACTTAAAAGATTTCACCAGAATACTTTCATATAAAATTTCAGGCCCCTTTTGGACAATTTTTAAAATTTGTGTTTTCACTAGAACATGAGACTGTTTTTCCCTTGGACGCTTGAATTACTCCTGTGGTGTTGGGCCTGCCTCTGGAGCGCTGCTGGGCTCCCATCCGGCGGTGTGGGGAGGACGCTGCAGCGCTCCCCAGCCCTCTTGGTATGCTCTTTCTGCCTGTTGGGCTGTCTGGGGGGCGGCCATTTAGGGATCGTTGGGGACGGCAGGTCCGCCCCGAGGAGAGAGAAAGGCCCGTGCACAGGTCAGGCTCTGGGCCGCGTGCCGCGGAAGCCGGTGTGCAGAGCCCACTGAGGGCTCTCCCCACACCACCCAGCAGGTGCTGGTGCTCCTGCCTCATGGGATCATTCCAGCCTTCCAGCCGCTCTGGCTTGAGGGTGTTTTGGGCACTTCCTTCCTAGTGGGCTTCCCTGGGAGCTCTCCAGTGGCACTGCAGGCACCCCACAGAGCTGGCCCTGTCCCGCATTTCTGTAAAGTCAGGGTGCATGACTTTAGTTAGTCGACCACACGCTTCATGGCAGGGGCAGCAGCGTGTGGGGAAGCGGAAGAGTACTGCTCAATGACGTTTGAAAGGAGTCCCCGCTCCAGATTGCTCTGAATTTTAACACACTTCGCTTTGGGAAAGTCAGTCGACAGCTCCTAAGATAAATGACGCATTCCGTTTTCCTACGTCACAGTCGTGAAACAGAAAACTGTCTTCAGCACGAGATAAAGTTCACAGGCAGATCCCCATGATCCAGAACGCCTTAAGGAACCCTCCAGCAGCTAGATCAGCCTTTTCACTGAGCACATCTCACCGAGAGTAACACTCCTACCCTGAAATTTCCAGAGAGCATATAACCTGTACCCAGTTCTTCAGGCTTATTTCTCTGACTTCTTGGGCATTCGTAGCAAAGTATTACAGATTCCTACGTATTTTATAGCAGCCATCAAAATTGGACTTTGTACTGTTTATTCATAAAAGAAACTTCCTAATAGACTTTTAACGAACTTTGTGTGAATACAGTAGTGTTTGTGCAGTCAGTTTCCTGCACGTAGGTTGCTGAGCTGAAGGTAGAGCTTGGTTGTTAAATACAACACAGCTAACCCTTGTGTTCAGTGGAAAACCACGTCTAGGAGGTTGCTCTTAGTCCATCTGCTTTTTTCTGAAATATACTAAGAGCAGCCACAAAACTGTAACCTCAAGGAAACCATAAAGCTTGGAGTGCCTTAATTTTTAACCAGTTTCCAATAAAACGGTTTAATACCTGTGTTTGTTTAATACACTTTCTGTTCCTGTCCTCATCTCAGTGGTGTTGACATGACTGCTTGGAATGCTGGGAGGCTTTTGTGGGTAAAGCCAGGCCTCTGACCCGTCATGGGATGCCGGGGCAGTCTCCAGACTAAATGCCTGTGGCTGACAGAACGGACCAGGCTGTGTCCTAAAACTGTCCTCACAGGCCTGCCCCGCAGGGGAGGTCTTGATCGTCTCTGCCCTCCATAGCTGCCCTGCGCACTGCGTGCCCTCCACACACTGGTAACCTTGGCCCCACCCCGTGACATGCACACCTCCATGAGGCATGGGCTCCAGTGCTCATTCTCCCCGCCGTCCTTCCCTGGGCATCTTCTGTGCCAGGTTCTTAGGGAGCGCCCCCCCCAGCCCCTTTCCGTGTTGCTCCCGCCCCTTTGGTCATGTGGGGTGCAGGGTTTAGTCTGAGCAGCAGAATCTGGGTGCATCTGTCCGTCCTGTGGGCCTGCCCAGCAGGGCGCAGCGTTTTTAGATGCAGCACCAGCAGCAGAAACCCCTGGTGCCCAACCTGCTGTCAGGCTCATTCAGGAATGTGTGATGGCTGCAGACTTGCTTCTGGGATGGGGAAGAGATGAAGTCAGAACTCCTGCCCTGAAGACACACTGTCATGGTGTGGTCTCAATGCCTGGTGCCTCGTTTGAGAGTCTCATCCTTGTCAGAAATTTAGGCTTAGAATCGTTTAAGAAATTGGAAATTTTCTGGCCGGGCACGGGGACTCACGCCTGTAATCCTAGCACTTTGGGAGGCCAAGGCAGATGGATCACCTGAGGTCAGGAGTTTGAGACCAGCCTGGCCAACATGGCAAAACCCTGTCTCTACTGAAAATACAAAATATTAGCCGGACGTAGTGGCATACATCTGTAATCCCAGCTACTCGGGAGGCTGAGGGAGAATCGCTTGAACCCAGGAGGCAGAGGTTGCAGTGAGCCGAGATCACGCCATTGAACTCCAGCCTGGGCGACAAGAGTGAAGAAAAAAGTTGGAAATTTTCTGATTACAGTGAGACTTCTGCTTTGAAAGGAATGGTTGGTGAGTAAAATACTTCCTCTCTGATGTCAGCTCTTAAGAAAAAAAATATTGGTCAGGTTAAAAATAGAGTCCCTGGCCAGGCATGGTGGCTCATGCCTGTAATCCCAGAACTTTGGAAGGCCGAGGTGGGCAGATCACCTTAGGAATTCGAGACTAGCCAGGCTAACATGGTGAAGCCCTGTCTCTACTAAAAACACAAAAACTCACCGAGTGTGGTGGAGGGCACCTGTAATCCTAGCTACTTGGGAGACTGAGGCCGGAGAATTGCTTCAACCAGGGAGGCGGAGATTGCAGTGAGCAGAGATCGCGCCACTGCACACCAACCTGGGTGACAGAGCGAGACTCTGTCTCAAAAAAAAAAAAAAAAAAATACAGTCACTGTGGGTGCACAGGGCAGCGTCTCTGATAGCTGGTCTTGTGTGCCTGCCAGAGCCAGTCTGTCATTCGCCTTCGTGGGGGTACCAGGTCCAAGGCTCCTCACGTCCCACCTGTCTGCTTTGGGAGGTGTGGCTTCCACCTGCAGTCCCATTCCTGCTGCCTTGGTGTGGCATTTGAGTGAGCTGCGGGATCAGCTTCTGGAAGTAGAATTCTGGATCAAAGTGCATGTGATGTATACTTAAAATGTTGAATAGAATCTGCCAGATTCTCCTCTGAAGAAGATGACTGGCTGTAGGGATCTGACCCCTGGCAGGACAGATGGAGGGGAGTGGGGCTGTCCAGTGTGTTCAGCACACTTGAGGACAGCAGAGACGGGCTGGCCTGGGCAGAGGCAAGCACGCAGGACCACAGCGGCTGAAGGCGATGTCTGGGCCTGGGCGTGTGAAGCGGGAGGCCACAAGAGTGGGCAGGACGTCAACTTCTGACTTGGGGCCTGAGGCAGACACAGCTGTGGAGGGGGCGGCGGGAGGCTGGCAGTGGAGGGACACGATCTTGTCCCGCTGCAGGTGGCTCCAGGGCTCCCCTGACCCCCAGCCTGGCAGCACACCTGTGGTGCCCCTGCTGCTGAATGGTGCCACGTGCAGGCCGCAATCAGGCGGTGGCTATGGCAGTTCAGTTCCCAGTGCTCACTGAACGGGTGGTCCCAGCAGGTACCCAGCACACCCCCAGCATTCTGTGACCAGCCCTCTGAGGCCCACGTCACAGAAGCCTGCCTGCCCCAGAGTCCATCGCAGAGGCCACCGTGCAGTCGAGTCCACCTTGCATTCACCATGAGCCCAGAGTGACCTGGGGCAGCCACCTTTTCGTGGGGGGAGCCCTCATTGTTACACAAAGGTGGCCGCGTGAGCCTGATGGGGGTGGGGCCCCTTTGAGGGACCCTGTGTGTTCTCCGGCGCTGCGCTCCCTCTGGGCGCATAGAGGGTGGCAGAGCGGGGCCTGGGTGAAAAGCGCAGGAGGAGACGGGTGTGCCGGGGTGGGCGCAGGTGTGGGTGCCCAGGTGGGCTCGAGCCCACAGGGCAGCTTCAGGGCACTGTGGCCAAGTCCACGTGCAGGAGCCGCGGGGTGGGCGCTCAGGGCTTTGTGCAGGCAACGCCCGCCCTCCTGCCCACTTATCTGCTGCTGACTGCAGGCTGCCAGGGCTGGGCCAGAGCCCCGGGTGTGTCTGTGGAGACCCTCATGTGTATCGCCAGGCCTCACCACGGTGCCCCCAGCCCAGGACCCGCGCTTACTTCCTGCGCCACCAGGAGCGGACTTTTGGAAGCCAGGCCCCGCCCCCGCCCCATCTGGGGGTGCTGAGTGTGGACGAGCAGGAGGACCCCGAGGAGTCCCTGCGGGGAGGAGTCTTAGGGTCTGTGGTCCCCCCTCACCCTGGCCTGGGTGGCGCCCAGCTGTTCTTTCCACTTTCACCTGTTCGCCGGGGACCTCAGATGGAAAGCCCCAGCCCTGTGAGGACCAGACGGGACCCTAAGCCCAGCGAAGGAGGGTTTTTCTTGTCCACTTCTCCCAGCCTCCCTCCTGAGTGGGCAGGAGCAGCCCTCCCCCGTCCACAGAAGCCAGACAGAATGGGGATGAAACAGACTCAGAGGGAAAAGAGTTGGAGGGGTTCACATCTGACAAAAAATCTTGGCAGAATTTCATTTGTGCAATCAACCCATGGGCCAGAGGCGTTGCAACCAGAGCGACTCCATCTTGAGCAGGGCCTGGGGAAACCGGGCTGGGACTTGCTCAGAAAGTCTGGCACTCCTGGCCTCTAGATGTTTATGTTTACTAAACAGACTCAGACTTGGGAGTGACCAGATAATCCTGACATCTGGAGAAGAAAGCCATTCCTAATTTTGTTTTAAAGATAATACCGATTCTTGCAAAATACGGTAATTAAGAAAATAGGTGGGGCACAGTGGCCCATGCCTGTAACCTCAGCACTTTGGGAGGCTGAGGTGGGTGGATTGCTTGAAGTCAGGAGTTCGAGACCAGCCTGGCCAACATGGCAAAACCCCGTCTCTACTAGAAATGCAAAAATTAGCCAGGCATGGTGGTGCACCTGAAATCCCAGCTACTCAGGAGGCTGAGACAGGAGACTCGCTTGAACCCAGGAGGCGGAGGTTGCAGTGAGCTGAGATCGCGCCACTGCACTCCAGCGTGGGAGACAGAGCGAGACTGTATCTCAAAAAGAAAATTAATACTTTATCACAAACCCTTGTAGCTGAGCACATCTCCTTCTGCCAGCATTGTACCTAGGCTAGGGTGGACGCGTTCCTCCTCTTTCGGGAATGCCTGCTCTGTCTGTGGAGCAGCTGTGCTTTTACCACATTACTCTCTTAATAAGTGTGCTTTTGCTTTGCACTACAGACTCGCCCTGAATTCTTCCATGCACGAGATCCAAGAGCCCTCTCTTGGGATCTGGAGCCAAACCTCATTCCTGTAACATATTTCTAGCAACCACAGAAGGGACTATATAGTGCAGAAACCCTGGCCGGATGGCTACCTTTGGGTAAGTGTTAGGGACCTGTAAGAAACCTGCAATCAGGAAATGGTTGTGTATCAGGCTGGGCAGGGGGTGGGCACAAAGACCTGAGCCACCCAGAGTCGGGGGCTGCACATCCCCTGCCCCAGGAATGAGAGTGACCCTGCTGGTGTTTCCAGACAGACAGTGCTCAGAGGGTCTCCCAGCATTTGAAGCCCAGGCCAGAGGCTTTGACCCAGGCAGGAGGCAGGCCTGGTTTGTTCAGGGGCTGAGATTTCGGCTGAGGAGAAATGGGGAGCAGAGAGGTGGTCAGGGGCTACAGGGGAAGGGGTCCTGGGTCAGCTCTGGGGCCTGATTCAGTGGCAGTGGTGGGAAGCCGCCTGTGCCTTGTGGGTGGTGAGGGGTTTTCCTTGGGGCCTGCCAGGCTGGGGTGCTTCAGCCACAGATACTGACTTCCTGCTGCCTGGGAGGCTGGAAGCCAAGGTCAGGGCGCTGGAAGGTTCTGTCCCTGGCTTACAACCCTTCCCACTGTGCCCAGGGGTATACTTTCAGAGGGGCCTGGGAGAGAGAGAGAAAGAGAGGGGGAAGAGAGAGAGAGGGAGAGAGAGAGAGCGCGAGAGCGGGCTCATCCTTTCTTCTGAGGACACACAGTCCCATCGGCCCAGAGCTGCAGCTCCTCTCCAAGGCCCCATCTCCAGCTACAGTCACTGGGGGGTTGGGGCTTCAACCTATGGGTTTTTTGTAGGGCCACTGTTTAGTCCATAGCATGCTCTCTTAATGTTAAAGCAGTAATTTTTTTTTTTTCCACCTGGAGTCAGCTCTCTGTAGCAGTAATGGTTTCTACTTTAAAAAAAAAAAAAAACAACAATAACAACAACAACAAAAACAAACAAACAAAAAAAACACCCAACATCATTTAAAGAAAAAGTGTGCAGTAAATAATCGCAGGGCAGCTTGGGATGAGGTGGAGGCGTGGTGGGTGGTGGCCTGTCTGCCTCACAGCCACCCAGCTGTGACTACAGGTGCACACCACCACACCCA